CAACCACCAAAAAAAAAAGAATTATTTTCATCAGATTTTGACCAGCTTATGTCCTTACGCCAATCAACTTGACAAAGAAATTGCAAATCTTTGAATCTTCTTGCTCAGTATTAAAGGTTAAGTATTTAACACCAGAAATGTTAAGAATCTACTAAACGTTCAGATCCCTGTGTCCTGAAACAAGGGAAAGAAGAGTGGCCGAAGGCAGCCGTTAGAAATAGTTTGTCATTATACCGTAAAAAGCTAAATGCAGAAATCCCTTGGAGACAAGAAGGGTATGCCTGCAGTAGGTTAAATCTATGAAGTGTGACATCCCAAGGCATTACAGACAGTATTACAAGGTTATACCTAACAATATGGAAAAAAAACAGAAGGTAACAGTGGGCTAAAGAGAAAGGAGGTGGGAAAGAAGAGATGAGATGGGGAATAGTCTAATGGTATATTTTTGTTTCATTATTAATTTTATTTTGAATCAGGCTCTAATCTCTATATTTCAAAACAGTAGAAATCTACCATTTGAGTTGTATCACAAAATATTCCAAAGTCTGCTTCAGAACCCATCTCATATTTCCATCTTAATCTCACCACAGATGTGGGAGCTCAGAAAAAACCTGTTGGAGGAGAGGGGTTCTTCAGTTCACTGTATATCTAGTCAAAGTTCTTGATTTGTTTCTTAAGGCTGAAAAGAACATATTCAACCCTTCAACTTGTTTAGAATTCAAGACAGAATACAATATCTAAATAACTCATTGCTCTGCCATTCTAAAGGCAACTCCTCTTCTCCTTGCCCCCACCCCAACTTCTGTTTCTTCTGCTCTCCACTTCCTTAAACATTTTTTAAAATAATTGATTTTGAAAAAAATTGATGAAGAATTCACATTGCATTTTTTTTTCCTTCTGTCAGCAGCACAAATTTAAAGTCTGATACAAAATACACTATTACTGATAAAAACAGAAAGCAGAATTGTTTCCAGCTACTTCTACTTTTTGTCTTGCAAGCAGCATCATTCATTCTAGCATTATACCTGAGAACGAGAAAAAAAAAAAAAAAAAAAAAAAAAAAAAAAAAAAAAAAAGGACATTTATAAAGAAGACAATTTTTCATAATCTTTTTAAATGTTACCCTATTTCACATCCACTTTAAAACAAGTGAGGTTGCATTATGGGTCAGTAGGCCATCATTCCAGGCTAGCCATCTTGTATAATCAAAGAAAATTTAAAGAAAATGCTACATTTTCTTTTCCGTTTACAGCCTTTACAGCAGTTTGGTAATAAATACATAAATGCTACAACAGGGAAGAAAAAAAAGAAAATGAAGCCTAAACAACCAGACTATAACTAGGATTAATAATTGAGGGAAGGGGGTGGGGGGAGCAGTTTAAACAGAGCGTGCCGAAGGCAGAAAATGGGGGAAGTTTCCCCAGCTGCGGCTCCAAGCCGAGCGTTGTGCTCTGCTGCCACCTGGGCCGCGCCGCGGGACGTGCAGCCCGCAGAGCTCGCCGTGCACCTGGGCGGCATCGCCCACCGGCCTGGGAATCTCGCTAGGGTCTGAACGGGTCAGTCCTCATGTCTTACTACAAATATGATGTGTAAATGATGTTTTGTTGTGTTTTTTTTTTGTTTTGTTTTGTTTTGTTTTTGAAGGGAGGGTGTAGAGGGAAGCAAAGAAGGGTTCCAAACATCGCAACTTGGAGAAAGCATGTATAAATGAATATTAGAAACTTAAAGGACTTCACAGATTTTCTTGTACTCTCCCTATGTCTCCGTGTTACAGTGCTATAGCCAACGTTGTCTTGACACCAGGCTTTGCTGAGCTGATAGCACTGACTTTGGAGAGTTTTCATACACTTCATTACAGCTCTTATTGCTGTTTTCCCCCACTTTAAGGCTCTCCTGTGCTTCGGAGGAAACATGTCCTGGTATGCTAAATTTTGCTAGTGGTAAATATTTCCTTTGGCTATGAAGTGCATGTGTAAAAAAGGCTTTTTGATTGTTTGTTTGTTTTTTGTTTTATCCCCTATGAAAATAAGCTCCTTTCTCACTTGCTCTGCTGTTATTGATAACCCGTAAAGGAGACAGAGCTGAAGGTCTGAGTGAAATAGTACTTTCAGATATTTACTTTTAGCCACATCAAGTTGAGGAAAACGCATTCTGTGTGAATTCCATACAATGCATGTGATGCTTTGCATACCAAACCTGGCGACAAAAGGACTGCAGGTGAGTCCCCCGGGGACTGCTTTGCCAGGAGGATTTTTCCAGTCCCTAACCACAGAAGTATTCAGCTTTCCAACTGTTCCCCAGAGTTGGCTGTTCTGATTTGTTTCAATTCAAGAACAGAAAAGGATATGTAATGAAGAGTCCCCCAGCAAGTAAGCAGTGCCCGTGTGACAAGCAGGGATGCAAAGGGTTAAGACGCTGACTTGCTTGCTAATTTGCCCAGTTTGAGGAAGAATATGTCTTGAGGCTGAGCACGCCGCAGCACCGCGTTTGAAATCTGTCACCCTCACTTAGGAGCTCCGCATCTCCTCTTGTCACCGGTGAATAATGATCACGCGGCGATAAGATCGCGCGGTGGCGGTGCGCCGGAGCCGCCGGGGGAGAAGCAGAGGGAAATTACGGGCGTTTAACGTTGCGGAGGGGTTTCCTCGATCGTCGGTGGTTTCAGAGTCATAAGACCGGCTGGACAGAGGCTTGGGAAGTATATTTCCTTCCTCCTTTCCTTGAAAGAAACCTTGGGCGATGGTGTTCATCGGCAGCTATGGAAAACAGAGACCTTGGTGGTGATCCTTAAAACAGTACGATGCCGGACACCAGCTGTTTTGCCACTTTCCCCCCTTGCAACCGGCCGGACCCGGTGGGCTTTGGGTGATTACCGGAGACATCTGCATGAGCAGGTAATGGCTAAAGTCTCTTCTGGATTGACACGATCTTGATATGACCAAAGTGTGTCCTGAATATCTTTCTTTGATGAGAAGCGTGGGCTGGAGGTGGAACCCCACCCAACCCTGTGAACCCCGGGACAGGACAGCAGCCCGCAGCCTTGCTGGAGTTTTCGTGCTTCCACTTTGCTCCGTGGTGGGGGGGGAGGGTATCACGGGGCAGAAATGGCCCTGATCGACAGAGGCGCGCTCTGCCAGATCTCTGCCTGAGGTAGCGACAGGTTGGTAATACTGGGGATGGGTGAAGAGAGGATGAGGAAACGTTCAGGAGAAAATGCACCGGTTTTCCATCAGCTTCAGGAAAGAGCCATAAATCATGCGCATATAAGTACTATAAAAATATGCAGAGCTTTTAAAAAAATCCAACAAAAGAAGACAGGTCTTGAAAAGTCAAAGAGAACACAGGACAACCTTTTTTAAAAAAGGTTGTTCGTTCGCCTTTGGACCCTGCGGGGCTTCTGCTCCTTTCATCTCTCGGGACCAGCTGGAAGCTGCAGGCAGAGATTCGACTTCAGAGCTGCTCCGTCTCTTTGTCGGGGACGGCGGCTGGTCCCGCGGCTCTGAGCCGCGCCGGCCCAGCCCTGTGCGGGTGGCCGAGCCCAGCGGAGGGGCTCGGAGCGTGGGGGTTCCATTATGGGGGAGTGGAACCCCGAGACAGCAATTTCTCTCTGCGAAGCTAGGCGAAGAGGAGATGTCCCCCCCTCAGCTTTTTTTTTTTCCCCTCGCCGAGCCCCATACGGAATGCCAGGCTACCTACGCTCCCCCTTTCACACTTCCTTCCCGCGTCCGCGTAGGTGAGGGTACAAGTCCCTCTCCGAGCAGGCAGCAAGGCTCTGCTTGGGGGCTGTAATACTCGAGGCTCCCCCTCTGCAGGACCCGGGGGCGAAGCCGCGCGCTGCTCACAGGGTCAGGCTGACCTGCGACCCGCCTGCTCGGAACGCCTCTTAAGCTGGGAGTGAGTCAACCCTCCCCTAGAGAAGGGCGAGGGAGGTGCGGAGACAATGGCGAGTGAATCAGCTCCTGAAAGTACGGCTGAGCTGAAATCGCGAGGCAGCGCGCAGCTGGGGGTGAGGGGGAAGCACACCCCAAGGCATTTCATTCGCCTTTTCTGTTTCCTGGACACATGGCATTGATCAGCTCTCCTCCATACCTTCTCAGCCTCTCTCTCTTTAAGTAACTCGCAGCCAAAGCCATACTATGCATTTTCTTTGCTAATGGAGGAATTTGAGGCAAATCTTCACTTCACACCCCACGTCCTACCTTGGCGGCTGCATCCCATTGCCCGGGTGCTTCTCAGTGTTAAACGCTCTCCTACCTGGGCTTGTCAGGACAAGGTAAGAACCTACTAGGGAACTGGGTTACCCCGAAACAAGCCCAGATAACTTGATATACACACACGAAGTGCTGCAGAAGGGATTAGTACGGGGGCGTTGGTAGCGCTTTCGGGCAAAAGGTGGTTTCCCCAGCGGTTTTAAAGCTTTCCTGGCTGAGCATGAAAACCAGACGGAATACTGAAGGAGCTCTGTCTCTTCCCTGAGGGCTAGACTTTCTTTCATTCTGTGCTATATTTATCCCGTGCTGCTGTTGCCCACCTAAAAGTTCGCAAGGAGGAGGGAGATGAATAGAAAGGGAAGGGGCGAGAGGCGGACTCAGTGCCGGCAGAACACGAAATATCGCCATGTTGGCGGAGAGCTCGGCTCTGATTATAGCTATCGAGGGCATCTCCCAGCTAGGTCTGCAGCTCGCGGACCAGCTTGCTCCCCGCCTTCCCTTCCAATACCCCCTCAAGGACCCCCGAGCAGCGCTGCTGAGGCCGCCTGCCACGGAGCGCGGCGATCCCTACACCCTCCTTCCGCTCCGCCTCGGCTCCCGGCGAGGCGGGGCGCGCGGTGGGGGCCGCGCACTCTTGGAGTACCGCCCGCCCGCTGCTGCCCCTCGCTGCGAGCCGGGGGCGGGGAGGAATGAGATGGGAGGGAGGTCGCTGCTGAGCTGCCATCAGCAAGCAATGGGTTAAGAGCGGGAGCCAAAAAAAAAAAAAAAGGAAAAGAGAAAACGTAGCCTGACTTTGCCTCTTGGAAAGCTTTAGGTTGCAGCCTGCCTTCCAAGCATTCTTTAAACTAGAAATGTGGGAGGGACTCCAGGGGAGAGAGAGGAGAGAGAGATGGCTATCAACTGAATTCATTACTGTAAACATCTCCCTGGGGTGTCAGGCAGGGAGGAAAAAAAGGCACGACTCACATTAGCAGGGAATAGTCAGATCTGAGGCATCATTACTGCTAAGATCAGCCTGTAACGCCGGCTGAAGGCAGGCGCGGCACTCGGAAGGAGCTAGCCGCACGCATTCATAAATACACTCACATCTATTTGTTTGATGCCTCCGACGACGACCAAGGGTCCTGGGTCTCCGTGCCAGCTCCTCATGTGATCCTCTCATCATTTCTAGAGGACAGAGAGAGGGGGGAAAAAAAAAGAAAAGAAAGAAAGAAACGTCCTTGCGGCCCCTTCTCATTTCTTTTTACCGGAGAAGGAGGAGCAGCGAGGGAGAGGAGCAAATCGAGGAGAGAAAGTGCGTTGGGGATGCCAGAGCCGTGGGCTGCGCGCCGTAGGAGGAGGTGGCGGAGAAGGGGGGAGGACGATGCCGCTGCCTCCTAAGGGAGGAGGGAGGCGCGGGGGCCGCTCCGGAGAGGAGCGGCGGCGGGCAGCGGGCCCCAGGGGCTGGCCAGGAGCGGCAGGCGGCGGCCAGAAGCGAGGAGCGGCGGCGGCAGCGGAAAAGTTTTGGTGTAGGGGGCCAGAGGCGCAGAGGGGGATTATGATCGGTGCCGGCGAGCGATTCCCAGACACTGTCAGGTACAGTTGGGATTTCATTTCTCTCTCTTTTCTTTCCTGCTAATTCTAGCCCAGGCGATTTAAAATCCCGGTGCCCTTTGAGAAGGCAAAGTTGAGGGGCCGGGATCGCGTGCGCCTCATTAGAGCCCCGTGCCTGCAAGTGTGCAGCAGCAGGCACACGCACATTTTATGAATGGCCGGCGGCAAGTGTGAGGAGGGTCGGCGGGCGATTGAACGGCAACGCTCGGGTCGGGAGCTCTCAGCCGCCCCGAGTAACCAGGTCCTTGGGCTTGTTTCGGTGTCGAAAGCAGCCCGCCAACCCCCAGCCCCCGCCAGGCGCCGCGCAGAGCAGCCCTCCTGCTATAGGAAACCACCGAGCGCGCGTACGAGCGCGACCATAGCCGCGTTCAGGGAAGTGGTTTGGAGAAACTGGAACTTCAAAAGATGAGGCTCGATCGGTGGAGGCAGTCGTCTGAACTCCACGCTGGCCAGTGTTCCGAGGTGTAAAGGACGGGAAGAGCAAGGAGCTGCGGCCTCCAGGAGGTTTCGTCACGTTCCCATCAGCAGCCCCCGGAGCGGGCTCTGGTTAGTGAGTGAGTAGGGCGAAGTGAAGGGAACGGGATCAAGGTTTCTGAGTACGAGGGAGCTCCTCATAGAGCTCTTAAGTTAGAGGTGATCTCTGGCAAAATAATTACAAATATTGGAAAGGGAGTGGGCAGGGGGAGGGGAATAATGAGCAGAGAAACAGATCGCGAAAAGAAATCAAACAGCTGGAAAGATCTCTCTAGAGCAAGAGATATAATCCCTTGAAAGATAAAGAAATCAGTGGCAAAGCAGGAAAGTAAGACTGTCCACCTTCTTTTTGTAGTGGATATCAGTCAGCAGGAGCTTTTAATTAATTTTAATGGAGGAAATCTGTTGTAAGGCTTACAATAAGCTAATAAAACCAAGGCACAAATCTGTGTAAATTCCTGTACGGTGTGTGGAAAGTACTGATTAGATTTCTTCAGATGCTTTTTTTTTTTTTTTTTTTTTCCCCAATGCAGAGCTCAGCTAAAGAGAAAGGGAGAGGTTCCTTGCATGAGAAGATACTAAAGCAAGGCAAACCTCTTTCAACCACACACACAGGCACACAGAAAGAAGGTGTATGTTAAAAATATGTTTACTTTGTGCAGTGCTTGTAGGGAGATCAAACCATTTTAAAGTTTGAGATTGATCACTACTTCGGTTACGACAAATGCCAACTTCTGTGGGGCATTCATTTTTTTCTTTCTCTGACATCGCACCTTTATGCAACTGCATTTTCAGAGACAACTTGTGGGTTGGTTTTAGAAATGTATGTTTTTGGGAGGGGGAAAATGTCTGTCCTGGCATTTTTTTCAAAACTTTTAAAAGGTATCATATCTTTAATCCTACCCACCATTCTTTCCTTCTTTCTTTTAACTCTTTAAGATACGTAATGCTGTCAATGAGATTTAATCAAAATGATACAAGAGATGTTAGTGTTGATCTTGTTTCTGAAAATGTGGGAGAGATTTCAAACATCATTATCATTGATAGAAGATTTTCTATTTAAACTGCTGTTCTCTATCCTGATAAGGTAGTTAAGCAGTTAAAAGTGATAGTGAAGAACTGGAAGAGTGTAGGTAAAAAGTCAGAGCACTGTGCGAATACAGTGTCTATACAACTACCTGCAGCTAACAGTCGGCAGTGTTTTTTTTCCAAAGTTCCAGTCTGTAGCAAGAAGTCATGCTGGAATGCATCCAACATTCTTGAAAGATTCACTCCTTACACACATGTGCACCCTATACTTTGTATAAGGTGATGTTATCTGTATTTGGCTTTGAGAGTCTGGATCTAATTTAAGCCACTGCTACAAGTCACATTTATATCCTGGCCTGCTGGGTAGTTTGATTTAGGATGTAGACATATCTCCTTTCTGGAACCCTACACCCTCCCAGTTGGAATCTGCATTACATAGGCTATGTTTTTTTTTTTTTTTTTTTCTAAGAATAAATAATGTGCTTACCTTTAAATGCTTAAAATAGCAGTACCCAAAACATGGCATGTCATTAGTGTTGACTTCCCTACCCTTCTTGCAGAAAGGATGGAGAGACAGTTTTACCAAACCAAGAAAACAAAAAGAATTTCAAGCAAACATCACTATCAGGCTTTTCCTGTACTGTACTTTCTATTTAAAGAACTACAAAGAAAGCACACTTAGGATAATATTGTTTCCAGGAAGGTGAGAACCTTATTTCTTAAAAATTTTTACTACCCCTTTAATCTCAAAATGAATTCATTTTTCACAGGATTACTTTCAGGCTGTTACCAGACAGATTCAAATCCAGTCCATTAGTGACCTCTATCTGTGAGAAGTGTGTAGTCAGAGGTGTTTTCTTCCTTTTTTTTCTCTGTTGTGGCTTGGAAACACAGGTTTTCTATCACTTTGGTCTTTTATTCCTGCATCTAGCTTGTCAGGTTGTCAATACTATATTTGTCACTGACTGAGTTTTGCTAGTAATTTAAACAGGAAAATAAGAAAACTAAACTGTAGTTCCAAATGTGTTTCAAGAACTTAAAAAAAAAAAATAAACAACCGAATTTCGGAAAGCTATTTCAGTGATAATGAACATTTGCAAAAAATCTGAAAAATAAAAAGGGTATTAAAAATCAATAATAAAGAAAGTGCATTTATGTTGGTCTTATGGTTTAATACTTACTTTAAAGCTGGCTGACTGTATGTGAAATTTTATTGCCCTTGAGTGCTTACATAATATCTGAAACTTGAGACAAACACTCCGACCAGATATATTATAAGTAGACTTTATAGTAGCAGAGTGTTTAAAAAATGAAAAAATAAAATATCCAGCTGTGTCTATATTAGGAATACATGTCAGAGATCAAGGAAAAGGGGGTCTTTATAAACAGATGGTCTCTTTTAGTGGATTATTAAATCCAGCTTCCCAATACTAATTTGTCTCTTGTTTATATCCACATCTATATTCCATGTTTTAGTTAGTGATTATAAATGGCAGTTGAGGACTTGACCAGCAATATCTTTGGGTAGGTGAATACCATTGTTTGACATTTCCCAGACTGTGGTTGATTACCTCAGCACTTGGTAATATGATGGTTTTAGGTGCTTCCTTCCCTCCCCCTTGGGCTTTCATTTCAGAAGTTTCTCTGTCAATGCTTTTTATTTATTTCTTCAAGAAACCAAAAGAACTGGAACTTGCCCTAAAGGTATAAAAATTACATTTTATTTTCTTTTGGTGAAACAAGTATTTATTAAAAAAAAAGAAAAACATGATATATAACTATTATTGTGAAGTAGGTTAATTTAACATACACTAAAGATACAAGCTTTAGTCCCCCTAAAGCTATACATAACCTATTCCTTTCAAGTAACTGACTTCTTTTAAAGAAAAAAAACAACCACAAAAAAGTCATCATTAAAATATTTTTCTCGACAGGGATGTTTTATTCATGTAGGCCCAATCTTTAATCCATACGTAATACCCAGAAAGGAATCATTTTAAACAAAAACTATTATCTGCTTAACAAATTGTACTCTAGACACGTCAAAATATATCTCTCAGTAATAGTAAAATTTAATCTAACATTTTCAGCCACTGGTGAAAATTATTGGGAACTTTTTATATATTCCTTTTAAATTGGTGATTTAGGCAGCTAAACTGTTTTTTGTTGTTGTTTTCATACTGATTTTCCCTCTTCAATTCCTTCTTTTGGTGTAGCCCTTTGAACTGAACCAAAACTAAATATTAGCAACGTTTTCAAAACAAGTCCATCATTCAACATTCCCGAAAACGATACATACAGGGCATGAAACATCTCTTCTAAAAAGAAATATTGTACTGTTGTGTTCTACCTGGAAGCAATCTTCTGTACATTCTATTTCAAGCTATAGCTGTTTTATTTATTAATTTGTACATTTTTTGTTGTGGTTTTAAAAAAAACAAAAAACAAAAAACACATTTCTATTCTAGCATAACATAGAAAAACATGTAACCTGTAGAATTGTTAGTCATTCAAAGGCATACTGTCATTGAAACAGATCCTTCAGTCCTTGCAGACAAAAATTAATAGGCTTTGGATATGCAGGATAAGCACGTTGCTAGACTTGAAAGGAAAATTTACATTGGCCTCAAGTGAGAGGGAACTTGCTTCCAACATGGAGTGGTCAGTATTTGGTAGGACCTGCTCCTTTTGAAGCAGAGTATTAAAGGTCATGGTTAACATTCTCACTTGGCTTTTAAATCAAAAGGCCATTTCCGTAACTATTAATCACTACCACATATTCATAAGATAAATTAACACCGTAATTTTCTGTGACAGTTATGGGTTAAAGACTTCGGTCAAAATAATATGAAAAGGTAAAATAACTTTAAAAGGGAGTTTGGAGAATAATCTATATATTACTGTAACAGTGTGCAGTCTAGTTTTGTAAATCCTGGCCCAGATGGGGATATGTCTTGAGCCATGGGTTACAGAAGAGGGCTTTTAGTTCCTTTTATCATCATTTGTGACCATATGACAGCTAAACCATTTGAATAGAGGGGGAAAAATTCTCTTTGGTGAAACTTCTTTATTATAGCCATGCTGTCATGTGAAGTCCAGTTACCTCAAAAATGCAATTAAAAAAAAAATCACATAGACATCAAATTAGTTCTTTCATTAAGACATGCTAGCTATGATTGAATTAATCTGAAACTATTCTACA